ATATTAAAGAAGCATCATTGATGACAACAGAAACGATGATTTATTTTATTTATGTAAACCTATCCTTTTTTATGTTTTCCATGAAAAATATTACATGAAAAACGACGGATTTATATGAATAAATTAAAAAATTAAAAAATCTTCAGACTTACATAATTTACTAATCTTGCTAAATTGCCAAATGCATTTATAGCTAGTCACGGGATGACAGGAATCGTGCTGAGACCATTAATTTTGACAACAAATATTGTGCTGCAAATTCGTACAAAAATGTTGCAGCCCAATATTTTTTAAATTTTTCTGCATCTCGAAACGATCTCGGTCTTTCTGTGTTCGCAATGTGCTATGTAACGGACCAACCCCTCCTGTGACGTTCCCGACGTGTTTTTTTCACTTTTTGAGCCGTTTTGATATGAATTTTTGAGGTGATTTTGTATTTTCTGTTCGTAAAATGAAAACTGCCCTTCTTCCAAGTAAATTTCAATAGTCAGTGAGGTGCGTAAGGCAAATGCCAGCAATCTGTGTGGCTGTACAGATGGAGGAAAACCGAAAAAAAATTGTAATTGAAAAATCAAAACTCATTGAAACACTGCACATTTGGAAAAGTTGTTTATTCATTCTGATAATGATGAGAAAAAATTTTTCACAGCAATAAAGTTTCACAATAAAATGTGCACATCTATCAAAACCATACACGAGGGAACAATGGTAATGAAATTAATTGATTACAAATGCACTATTGGATGATAGTTCAGAATGCTAATCATATAGCATAAAGTGGACAGATGAAGAGGATAATGAGCAGTCATAAGCACAGTACACGGCATTTTTCAACGGACGTTTCTGTTTCACAATCAATATTTTGACCGCAGATTCGAGACTCAAAATTTGAGTATCGAATCTGTAGTCAAAATTTCCACAAAGTATCGACATGTTTACATGAACAACGGAGTTTTTTCTTCGCCCGAATAACCACAACTTCAACTCCAACCTAGCTTCTATTCACCAGGTTTCCGTACAGCAGAGTAACCGCCGAGATCTTTTTCCAGAAGGGTGAAAATAGTTCATTCCGTATAATAGCTGAATTTTGGAGTGGCTTTCTCAACTATCCAGTAAAGTGAAGCCTTTTCTTATCGTTTTCTGAGGGCGAATTATGAAAACGATGATTCGAAGAGTACATCGCGTTATCCATCGAATTCACCATCTGTAATAGTTTCCATACGATCGTGTTTCACTCACTCATTTCAGAGTGTTTCCCATGTGATGTCGTTACAAACGTTGTGTTGTACGTCTGTGGTCAAGTTTCTCAGACCCGTCGTCCTCCTAACACGTCCTCCAGTTGCCGTCAACTCCTTCAGGCGTATCTTCAGCCCGTCACAGCGTTTCCTGGCTGCTTCCGATTCCTCAGCTGACGGCAACAGCAACAGCAATATCAACAGAAAAGCGTTTCGTTCACTTCTCTCCGATAGCAATGTTACGAGTCCTTTTGAAGATCCTTCACGTCAACGCAGGGTTAGCAATTAATTCTTCGTTGTAATGCCAAAGTCTCGAGAAAGCCAGTGTTTTCGCATCTTCTGAATTTTATTCATGTCTCTTGGAAACACAAAACCAGAAGAAACCTGGGAAAACGTCTACTTTTGAAACAGAGATTGTATCCGTGCAAATGAAATAAATTGTTCAGAGAAGGACTTTAACAACATCATCATCTATGCTTAAATCAAAAACAAGCGATGAGGATGTGCAGTCGACAGACAAGAAATCAATACCAGAACTGGATGAAATGAAGAAGAAACTTGAAGAGTTGATCAAAGAAGACCCAAAACAATCAGAAAACACCAACAAATCGACAAAAACAGCAACACAAAATGTTAGCGTGAATATCTCTTTTTATATTTCAGTGTAATGACTGACTGTTTTTAATTCCAAGCGTTGAAGTTTCAGAAGAAAAGCGCTGAAGATTTGAAGGGCGGCTTAGAGGATGAACCTGAGAATTCGTTATCGTCGTTGGGTGGTTCGACGACCACAACTCTGTCAGCGTATCGACGATTCTGGAAAAGATTTCATAAGATGATGGGAACTGAGGTAAGTTCTTCGGATGTGGTAATTCTTTGTTGTGATAATTCTCATCGGATGTTCACTAAAATGAATTCGAGACACCCTCCTCAGGATGTATGTTTCTTCAGTTGTCTTGCTAGTTTTGTCGGAAGCCTTCTCGGATAATATTCACTCATAAAAATTGTGAGTTCAGGTTGACGAAAATGCCACATACGAAGAGAGACGAAGGCAAAAAATGGCAAGGAATACAAAAATGGGTAGCTTATTTCTAGTGGTTGGCTCGTTTGCGGGTTTCGTTTGGTTTTGTATTTATTACGGTGCGTTTATTAGTGTCATTAACGTTGCTGTCATCATTATCATTGTTATTGCGAATGCTTTTAATTTCATTATTCTTTTCTCATTACGATGCTTGAATGTATTGCAGAACCACTTTCATTATATTCTATTTTACTTCATTCTCATGTCTAAAGCAAGATTGCTTCACTTTGTCTGTAATATTGAGCAAGATGGCACTGTTTGTTCAACTAATTATTGTACATTTCGCAAAAAGAAGACTCATTGCGATTGTCATTATTAGCACTAATTTGATATTTTTGTTCGATTCAAATTGGTCGATGACTAGAATGCACTGTTCAGGGCGGCCGAAACGTGACGAGAAAGGCCAAAAAATACAAGATGAATTCAGTGGCACTTTCTTCGGACCATTCTATCGTATCATGAACAGTTTCAAACTTTGGAAAGATGTAAATTCCTTCTTTTTTATTCAAAGTGTTATATTGACTTATTTGTCAAGATTGAGATTCCGTCTCATCGAAGCTGATTAGCGATAATTCTGCATGTTTATTGTGTTTTTTCATAAATGAAGATTCTTTTAGAAAACGAATAGAGTGCAATATGTAAACTTTATTTGCAAACTTCACATTTCTGAATCAGTTTTCTGCAGAATTGTTATGTTTGTGGTTTCAGTATGTGGTGGAACCGTCACGAGAGGTGCTTTTGCCCGATCCGTTGCCGCCACCATACTTGCAACCGAAATATACGCTTGTGATCGAGATGAAGAATGTTTTGATTGCTCCCGAATGGACGGTTAGCTTATTGATTCTGCGTTTNATTTGTCGTTCTGTTATGAATATTTCGTTTTGTACGAAAATATTGGATCGTATAATGTATTGAATTATTTTTGATGGTGTTTGGTTTGGAGAATTCGAATGTATTTTTGTTGTTCAGTACAAAACAGGACATCGTTTTGTGAAACGACCAGCGCTGGATTATTTTTTGGATATTGTTGGATATCCAAACTTTGAAGTGGTTATCTACACATCGGAATCTTCGATGACAGCACCGCAAGTGATCGAGTCATTCGATCCAAAGCAACGAATCATGTACAAACTCTATCGTGATTGCACCAAATACATGAACGGTCATCATGTCAAGGTTTATACGATGCTATTTGTATTCGCTTCGGTTCAGATGTTATTGTCATTCAGAATGAGAGTCAACGGCACTTGTCATAAGAATAGTGAGCAATTCACGGAAAATTCTCGGGTCTTTGATAGTGAGTGGCATTTGGTTTTAGAGTTAGGTTTTGATCGTTGATTCGGGTTTTGAAGGATTTATCTCGTCTGAATCGAGATCTGTCGAAGGTGATCTACATTGATTTCGACCCGAAATCATTCCAACTGAATCCGGATAATGTGTTACGAATACCGAAATGGGACGGTGACATGGACGATACGTCGTTGGTGGATCTTGCTGAACTGTTGAAAAGTTGTTGTTTTTGTTTGTTGGATTGATTCTTTGTTTATTGAAGGAAAGTGAAAGTGTTCTGTTAAAAGTATTGAATATTCTGATGATCAATTCAAATTTCAGCGATCCATCTGTCAGATGTGGAAGATGTGAGACCAACACTTCAGTATTACAGTCAATTCGATGATCCGGCTAAAGAGTTCCGTCGTCGAGCGATGTACATTGCTGAACAGGTGAATAACGTGAGATTGTTATCATTATTATTGCTGTTATTATTATTATTGTTAGTATTATTATTGTTATTATTACTCCATTGTTATATTCTTATTGTTGATTTGATTTCGTTAGCAGTATTTTAGTCGTTTTTAATTGTTCGTTTTAAAGAAAGTAAAAAGTAACTGACTGCGATTCAGGATCATGCGATCAAAGAACAGCAAGACCAACAAGATCATAGTATGGTGAAGCGGTACTCGGGACGATTATTTGGCTATCGCAGGCATGCCTGAATTATTTCTTTCTCGCTGTTTATTTAGTGGTGCTGGATGGCTCGAGAGGTGCAATCGTGAGTTCGGGCTGAAGCGTAGAATTTGAGGGTATATTCATTGTTCTTGGATATATCATTTTGGTTTCTGTGTTCCCCTTTGATGATTGTATTAAATGAATTTTTAAATAATTCATCACATCTCTTCAATGGAATATTGCTCAGAATCAGTGTATTTGTTACTTTTCAATAGGATTTCGCAATGTCATTTACGGATTTGTTTTGTTTTATTGTATTTGTGTGATTTACAGTTAGATTAACGAAATAGAAAGAGAATTTTGTGAGATGATTATAATGGGATAATTTTTGTTGTTGTGATCGGTGAACACTTGAGATAGATATATGTATATCATTAATGCACTTTGCTATGTAAAGTCAGTTGCATTGTGTTTCTTATTTTTATTGTTATTTTTGTTATCAGTGTCCATATTGTTATTATTATGATGACGTTTATTATCGCGTCGTTAAGTTTAGAACTAAAGTCATCGCTGGAGTTTTTTTCATACCGGTTCATTGTTTTTTGTGTTGTTGTTAAGTATAGGCGTCTTTTATCGATGAATCGTTACAAAGTGCCTGAGTGTGCTGTTACTCTGATGGTTAATCGTCGATTTAATTGTTTTGATGTGAAAGTATCGTATTGTTGCGACTTTATTGGATGAATGCTGTGTTTTGAAGGCATAACGAAGTGAAACTTTTGATTGATTCACATTTTTGTGTGTTTTTTAAAACGTTTTTACTTGAAAGATTAAGTTTAATGTGCAGTTTTGAATGTGGTTTAATGAAATTATCGAGGAGCACTTCTTTGAAATCAATTCACAACGTCAATTCGAAAAAACAGAACAATAACGATAACAGCAGTCCAACTGAAA